TGGGTGTGACAAGGGAAAATGGGAACAGCTGTAGTTGAACAACAATAAAAAATAAAAAATAAAAATCATACTTTTACAATTCCATTAAAAACAAATATTTCTTTTTTGTGTGCAATTCTGGACATAGAAGTTTATGAGTTTCTCTCCTAGGGTCACTGAATAAGTTTGAGAAGCACTATCTTGCAGCCATCAATATCTGAAGAGAAATAAATGACCCATGAGGTATAAGAAATAACAAAATAAAAACATTTTAAAACAACCTAATGATGGGGTATTTTATAATAAACTTTTCCCATGGATCCCCAGAGTGAATATAAGTTAAAATATTCTTCATGTTTTCATGCAGTGAACAGTAAATTCATAATCTCTATTTATTTTCCATGGCTTTTCCATTTAAGTCTGACTTGGTAGATCAACATTGATTATCTTAGTAATAATTAGCTAATCAAATCTACTTCTAATGGTTCGGTCTTAATACACTTATAGGGAACTTAATCAAAGTTCCAGAGTTCAAACCTGCTTCCTAAGATCTGGCTGGCAGACTTGCTGCTAAGTTCCTTTAAAATAACAAATAAATGTGATTATATCTATATCTATCTATCTACATGTAGATAGATAGATAGATAGATAGACAACAAATTTATGGTGTGAAAATCAATCCCAGTCAGTCCTGAGGTACAGATAGTAAGTGTTCCAGCAAAATATAAATTAAAACTATGGAAGTCAAGTTGTGTGCAATAAAGATGGAGAAATATAAAAATAAAAAAGTAACAAACAACAATAATGATAAAACTCAACAAGAAGAATCCTACCAGAGCTACATAAAAATAGGTTTAGTGATTTCATTTATTCAGCACTTTTCCTGAATGCCAACAGTGTTTTGGGCATTTTGCTAAAGTTTGGGAATAAAACTAAAAAAGAATTTATTCACAAATCTGTGTAAGATTTCCCAAGTAACTTGCCCAAGGTTATGCCTGAGGAGCAAGGCCAAAACTTGAACATGTAGTTCTGTCCCTAAAGTCCAGGGTTTTTCTCACAGTACCAAGTTGAAGGCACTGGTGTGTAGAGTCATGATCCTCTCAGATACACTTTTCTCATTCTCTGTGCTCATCTCCTCATTTGTGCATGTTATAGTACTAAATGCTCATACCTTTGATTGACCTTCAAAAGGGCTGCTCTTGGACATTGGAGTTTCCTTGCCTAAACAGAGAATCATAAATATCTTGGAGGCCTCAGGCTTCACTCCTCCACCACTGCACAATCCCAATGAGTGACTGGTATGGGAGTTTAAAAGCCCAGTTCCTTTGCCACAAAGCAAGGTGAACTCTAAGGTTTAATTTAAATTCCAGAGTCCCTCATCAGATCAGGCTAAAATCTCACCTACCTACAATTGTATCTTTGTTTGGTTTCTTCTTCTTTTATATCATGCTGTCCTTACTTTCTTACTGGTTTTACGTTGGGCATAGTTCTTTAATAAATCACTAACACACAGATTTTCATTCAGGCTTTGCTTCTTGAGAACCCTGAGTTGAGATACCTATTTTATGCTATAGATTATATAGCATGTTATATATATATATATATATATATATATATATATATATATATATTTCACTATGAGTTCATCTACATTTAAACTACAGGATCATGGGAATGTGTTTTTAATAAAGTTTTTAGATTACATTATGGTTATGGAATTAAAATTAATCATTTGAGTTGATTATTTAATCAGTCAAGTGTGTATATTATTTATTTAGTGAACTTGGCCAAGTCGGTACATTTATTTAGATATCAGCATTTTCATTTGAAAGGTGATTGTTATTTACTCTGGTGGTTTGTGCTTATTGAATATAGTATATACCAGGCTATTTTATGACACAAAACAATGATAGACTGCTTAAGGAATGGGCTATATGAACAGTATTGATATTTTGCCATTTTATCTTCATTTCAGAAACCAAGAAAAAGTAATTTAATGCTTTAATTTACTTTTCTCAGTACAGCAAACTTCCAATAACAATTGTCAGGTCTTTTTTTATTGTTGTTCAAGTACAATTGTCTCAATTTTTACCTCACCTTGCCCCTCCACCTCACCCATCTCCATCTCCCACCCTTGATCCTACCCCCTTTTGACTTTGTCCATGTGTCTTTCATACAGGTTCCTTGATGGCCCCCCATTATTCCCTATTATCCCACTCCTCCTACTCTGTGATTACTGTCAGATTGTTCTTTATTTCAAGTCTTAATAGAACAGCAAACACATTAAAACTACTGTGATTAGAAATCCAGTTTTTACATTGAAAGTATTTTTATTTCAACTTTTTGACTTACTGAATAGCATGACAATTGTCTATTATAAGTACTAAATATGCTATAAAAACATCATGTTAAACAGTACAATTCAGAATTTTACCCATTTTGAAGTACTTTTACTTTAAAAAGGACACATAATTTAGATTCAAATAATGGAAAAAATGAAGAAAGAAGCATTGAAATTCTAGACATAGTCCATAAATAATCTCTTTCTTCAAATCCCAAAACATGTAAGAAGAAGAGGAATTAAATCTATTTTATGCTAATGATATAGTATATGAGAGTAGCTAAAGGAATGAAATAAAGGCATAGAAGGTGGATTCTGTCTTATTCTCATACCCCAGTTTCAGAAAAGGAATACAAATAAATGAAATAAATCTAAAGGGCTTTAAAATAATTTGGTAACAAGCTGTGTTAGATGATGCAATCATTTTACCCAAAGGCAGCATGGAAATAAAATCACAAGATCTGAAAAAGTTGAAAATCCCTCATCAGACCTTGTATTGGAGCTTTTGGGCCATTGGACATCAGGATTAGGTCATTATATTTCTCATTTACTTTACAATACAGTACTGAGTATTTCATCACTTCCATCAATAAAGTTTTGTGGACTGATCTTGCAGATCAAGAAATGGAAATGCAGAGGTAAGCCTATAAAAGAAAAGTTATAGTAGTACCCAATCTTTTAATTTGCTTGTCCCTCACATTTCTCATTACCCAGGGAAAGAATGGCCTGTTAATTCTCATGAACTATACCTAGCACCCTAATTATATATCTCAACACACTTTCCACTCATGAACATATTTGAAGACAAATATATGTGTTTTAATTATAGAAGTAGCCATCTATTTTACTTTTTAGATAAAAGAAAAGTGGCAGATCTATATATAGATTGCTTATAAAGTCTAGTAATATAGACAATATATAGAATGTCATCAAGGACATCTTCAATTTGCAAATAATAATAAAATATTTGTTTTTCAAACTTTCAGGTCACTCTAAAGATTCATATGAAACACTCCTCAAGACAGATTATAAATTAAAGGGAAAATCAAATAGCACAATAATATATACTTGATTATTACACATATGTAATTTACAAAATTTTAGTTATGTAAATCAAATGCACAATTATATCTGTATAAAATTAACTCAGAATAAGGTTATATGGTAGTGCAGATGACAGAGAGGATTGACAAGGCAAGACAGAATTTTGTTTTGAATCTACTGTTTGAAATGTTTTCAGTGAGAACATAGTCATAGAACACCACTTTAATATTTTAACTCTGATCAGTGACAAATCACTTGCAAAACACTTTAACACTTTCCTATGCTCCAGGCTCCTCATCTGTAAAATCACAGTTCTGTCCTACTTTATTATTTCAATTATTTATCCAGTGATCAGAAGTCAGGAGGCAGACATTAACCTAGCAGGCCCATGCTGGCTTTTAGAACTCTTTCACTTCATGATTATAAGAAGTGATGCAATGTTTGCAGCGGGAGTTGCGAGACTCCGTAACAATGTGTCTATATAGGCTCTTCCCTGTAGAAAGACTTTAAGAACAGCTTCTCAACTGGCTGGAGAAAGGACCCCATGTGAAGGGCTGTTTGTGTGTGTGTGTTTATGCACTGTGTTGTAGTTTGACCACCTAGCATCTAACTTGGAACTTGGACTTAATCTCTATAAGAGTCACAGTGTGGTAAGTGCAGACAGATTGTCAGAGAGGTAGCACTGCCTAGGAAGTAATTAATCAAAAAGACTGCAGCCATAGTATAGATCCTAATTGAGGGCTATAGGAACCAGTTACCCTAGAAGAGAAGGGTGACATACAGCTCTACTCCTGCTTTCAATCCTGGGAGACTCCGGGCGGAGGCGGCTACAAGTGGCATCCCCTGACTAGCACTTCAAGAGTGTAAAACTGATGAGGGCCTTGAGTTAAGGAGGTGCAACCTCATGTTAACAGTGGGAGGTGCCCCAGTTAAGACACTGGGCTGGGACAGAGAGCACCATGAACTGCAGAATGGTGGAAGCTCCAAGAATTCCGCCACTATTGTTGGTGCTGAGAAGCTCCAGAGTAACTCTGATAGTGGCTTCCTCTGACTCTGGTCTCTTGGGAGTCTGACAGTGGTGATGAGGGTCTTGGTGTATGGGGCACAACCTCATTTTTGTCGAAAGAAGGAATCCCTGGCCCTAAAGGGGCACTGGAGGAAGACATTGAATGAGGTTAAATACCCCAGAATATAAGGAGCTCACGGAACCTTACTCCTGCTCTCAGGGTGGGATGGCCCGGTCAACAGAAGGAGCTGCAAGTGGGGGTAAGCTTGGACAGGACATCCTCCAACTTCCGGTCTCGAGTACCGTTGGTGGAGGCCTGTACGGAAAGACGCAACCTCAATCAACAGAAAGAGTTCTAGGACTGGTCAAGTGTCAAGGTAAGGACATTGAATGAAGGGACCAATAATCTCAGAATAGAGGGGGCCCCACTGAATAAAGTTCCATCCCTTTTGTCATTTCCGGGAAGTTCGCGGAGTAATAGACAGACTGTAGCACTCTAGCAGCCTAACGGTCAGACTGAGTTGAGTTCACAAGATGAGACCACTCACATCCCCCTTTCTCCCTAGGTTGTGGACCCCTTTCATCTTCCCTCCTGCAAATTCACGCCTGCTACCACTTACTAGAGTTACCATGTCTCAGCGTCAGGAGATTCCACATGATTCACAGGAACAATATGCCCATAGTGACACCCAGGACCTGTATGCTACATGGGTTTCTGAAGAAATGGAGGAGAGCTCATCCTCCTCTTCCTATACTCTAGTGCCTGATAGCCTGGAGGAGCCTCTGGCTGCTGGCACACCCAATAGCCCACTAAGTCCTCAGAGTGCCTGTTCAACTTCCACTGTCTTCAGTTTCAAATCATCAAGTAAATCAAATGAGAGCTCTGGCAGTCAAGAAAAGGAGGATAGTTCAGGTTCTTCAAAGTCCCTGTCGGAAACCGAGAGCTTGCCTGAAGACCCTTTAGATGAGAAGGTGACTTTGCTGGTGCAGTTCCTGCTGCACAAGTATCAAATGTTTCAGCTGATCACAAAGGCAGACATGATTGATGTTGTTATCAAAGAGTATAGGGATGACTTTCCTGAGATCTTCAGGAGAGCCTATGAGTACATGGAGCTGGTCTTTGGCGTTGATGTGAAGGAAGTAGACCTGACCAGCCACAGCTATGCCCTTATTAACAAGTTAGGCCTCACCTATGATCCAAGGCTGAGTAGTGATGAGGGGGTGCCCAAGACCAGCCTCCTGATAATGGTCCTGGGTGTGATCTTCATGAAGGGCAATAGTGCCACTGAAGAGGATATCTGGGAAGTGCTAAATACAATGAATTTACATCCTGGGACAAATCACTTCGTTTTTGGGGAACCCAGGAAACTCATCACCCAAGATTTGGTGAAGGAAAAATACCTGCAGTACTACCAGGTGCCCAACAGTGATCCTCCATGCTATGAGTTCCTGTGGGGTCCAAGAGCCCATGCTGAAGTCAGCAAGATGAAATTGCTGGAGTTTTTGGCCAAGGTCAATGGATCTGATCCCATTGACTTCCCATCCCAGTATGAGGAAGCTTTGAGAGATGAAGAAGAGAGAGCCCAAGCTTGAGCTTCAGCTGGGACAGGCACTACTGCCATGGACAGGGCAAGTTCCAGTGCCACCTCCAGTAGCTCCTCCTACCCCTAATCAAATCTGAGGCAGAATCTTCACAAGAGGTAGTGGAGTGCTAGGGTGCAGCTGTAAAGAACATAGTATATTACATCTTTGTGTCACTGTTTTATATGATTAAGAGGGAAGTTTATCTTATTTGGAGAGAGTTTTCAAATGTTGTTCTTTTTAATAAATATTTCATTAGCTTCAGATTCTAACTTTATGAATGACATTGGCCATATATTTATTTATTGCTATTTATGAAATTTAAGAATACAAGTTTTATTTGTTTATAAATGAAATTGCAAAACTCACTGTCTAATTTTGTGTTCTGGAAAAGATAACATGACATTTGAATAGACTTTACCTTGGAACTGTCAGAGAACTCAGCAGGAAAACAGTTGGGTTCAAGAAAAAAACAATTCTTGGCTTTCTTATTCCTTTTAATCTGATGTTCTGTAAAATTAAATGACATATACATGTATTTTTCTAGCTTATTTAAGAATGTATGAGACATAAAGCTTAATAAATTAGACCCTACATACACTGGCTCATTTATTCACCAAACATTAATTTAACATCTGTTCTTTGGAAAGCACTGTGTTAGTACAGGGGATGCTAGGATACACAAGACTCACTGCCCACCCATAGAACTAGGGAGACTAGGAGCAGGGATCATGTAAAGACAATGGTGGGTAACCTTTAATACCAAAAGAAAACATCAAAAGAAGTCAGGAGGTGGAGGGAGAGATCTGTGTGAAGGCAATCAAGTGTAAAGGTCCTGGGACAAGGCAAGCTGAGGCCTTGGGCAACTGCACGTCATTCAGTAGGAAGTAATTTTAAATTAAACTGCATGGTACACTAGATGAGGCTGTAGGATTGGTGGGCAGGGGCCTGGAATGGGAAATTTTTCTTACTAGTTGCTTTGGGATCATGGGTAAACCAGATCCCATCTGAGAGTAGAGTAGAAGATATCCTATATTGTTGTCCAAGTGCAGTCAAACACAATGCACAAATTTGGTGTTTTATGAACATCATCTTCAAGGAGTTTGTGAGAAATAAGGGTGTTACCTTTTTGAAGTAAGATACCCAGAATCTGGCACTCTTTGCCTGAGGCTGGGAGACCAGAGCCACATCACTCAGAGGACATTTTAAATAGGTTATATTCAATATAATTTGGCAAACTAGGCAAGGCCTAGAGTTTTGAAGGGAGTGGATGAATGAAAAGAGAGTTGCATTGTTGGAAGGACAACTGGAAGGAAGGGAAGGAGTTGGTCCTTGACACAAATTTCAGGAGCTTTGTGATGCACTCAGTTGGAAAATACTCCTTCCCCAAAGCCTGTATTAAGTAATATATCCTCTAATAGCAAAGCAGCTTGGACCTCTGAGTCACTCACTAGCAAAATCCCCTGCCAAATCACATCAAATTTTACATGCACAAGAAATAAATCTTTGCTGTGCCAAGCCACTCAGATTTTAGGTTTTATGTTTTGCACAAGATAGCAGTTATTTTCTCTAACTAATAAACAGGTACTATTTATGTTATTAAGCTTATTTTAAAAATTTAATGACAAAGTTAATAATAGTGCATATACTCCTTTTGCAAATTTTTCTAATGTACATAACTCTATCTTCTCTCATTACAGTGTTCTTTCAAAATTAAACTTTCTTCTCAGAGGTAACTGCAACAAAAATATGGTATATATTATTTTAAAGATAATTTTATGCTTTTAATAGATAGGCATGCTATAAAGTATATTGTGATTTTTAAAAATACAATGGGTAGTAATGAACATATTGTTCTCTCACTTACCTTGTCACTTAAAACAAATGCAGCATCATTCCATGACAACACATATAAATCTACCTTTCTAGGATTCTAAAATATGAATGTCCCATAGTAATTTAACTATTCTCCTCTTGATGCATATATAAGTAGTTCCCATTAGTTCCCATGGTTAACAGAACTGAAATCAATGTCTTTGGACATCAATTCTTGGGGAAATGTGCACAGGAAAGACAGCAGACAGAAACTGGGATAAATTTGTAAGGGTATGCAAATTGTAAATTTTTATAAATATTGCCAAAGTATCATCCCACTAATCTACCAATTCATATTTTCACAAATTAATGTCTGTAAATACCCTATACTCTTCACATTTTTTTCTGATCCTTTAACTTTTGCTCAAACTTATATATTTAAAAATGTTTCACAGTTATTAAATTGTATCTCCTTGTTTTCTAACTAGGTTGTGCAGAAAATTAACTTACTCTCTTGCCCATGTAAGGCTAGTTTTCTACAGAAATGTTCTGAGTCACAGGATTTCTCTGAACATGTTTTAAAACTGATGTCAACAAGATATTTTTCTTTTACATTGAGAAAGAAAGAGAATAATCAGGTAACAGGTATTAGGGCCAGACAATCTCAGCTAGTGAGGGGCATGAGGAGGGTGGTGGGGGAAGGCAGTTTCTAGAGTTCATGAGGAAAACCACCAGCAAAAGCAAGTCCAGAGAACTTAATGGCAGACTGTCAGGCAGGGATCTGAATGTAGAATTCAGCATCTTGTAGACATAAGGAAGGTCGGACAGTTCAGGTAAAGTAGGGATTACCATCCCAGAGTCCTGTCTACTCAGCCCTTTCTTCCCCTTGGGAAGAGTGGGCCCTGATACCCACAGCACTCCAGGGTGCTCCCTGAATGCTGCTGGGAAAGCTCAGTGCTGAAAGACCCTGCCTCAGACATGGACTTCATCTAGGGTTGCCAACAGTCCTGAACACACAGGACATGTGCTCTATTGGAGTTTATCTTGTGTTCTATATCAACTTTGTCAGGACACCCTAATGTTCTATATTCAGGGGTTTTTTTTCAGTAAGTTACACAAATTTAGCAGTTAGAGCTATTTTTCAACCATAGTGATTTGTGATTAAATCACTTGTGTGGAAAAACCATACCTTTACAAATAAAGGTCTGCTCTCTCTAGAGCTTTTGGTGGTGGAGGAGGTGGTATTTAAAATTTTAAAAAAGGAAATATTTCAGAAAGAAAGAGCCTGTTTTGGGCCTTAGTCCCAAGTCATGAACAAGTAAATATATAATCAGTGCAATCAACCCATCAATGGCTGTCTCCAGAAAGTAAGTGTCAGGCTTCTGAAAATCAGCCAATCAGCGATACCCTCACAAACAGCTGTCCTGAAAGTCATCCAATTTGCAACAGTTTCACACTTCCAGGCAGCATCCAATCAGCAAGTTCTTCTGTGCAGGGGCCATGCTTCTGAAAGTCAGTGGGTCTATAACAGCCTTATTCTAATGACTGCTGGAACACAGCTGTAAGTCTGCTGATCCCTAACACTCTGCTTCTGAACATCCTCCATTCTTGAATCCCCAAACTGACAAAACTTCATACAAGATCAGCTCCAGCACTGTTTGGGAAGACTGAGCCTTACAATACAAATCTCCCCTCAAGCCAATGACAAGTTCTCCTTTTTTGCATCAAATATGGATTTCAAGTTATTCTTAGTTCACAATTTCACAACACTTTCAACCATTCAACAAACCCTATTTACAGATTTGTTCAGGCTTGTGAGTGTCAGGCATACTGACTGATGTGGTCATGAGATTTTCAAATTCAGTCTTTTCAAATCCTGTTATGGTTGCTTTCATCTAGTTTTGTGTATATTTGAACCTCAAAATGCCCAAGCATAAGTTTAAATGTTGTGATAAATTTTAGAATGGTAGACATTTATTAAATAAGGAATAAGCCTTTTCAAAGTTTTTTGTGCCATATACAATGCTTCATTCAATATATAAAAGGTGGAAATCTAGATATAAACCAGCATATACTAACAGCAGAGCATGAGAGAGGTATGATTTCCTTAACTAGTACCCATGATATTTAAAAAAATAGTGCATTTTTTGTTTAAGAGATATCCAGATTACAAAGATAAAAGTATCACAGCAGAAGTTGTAATGGCCTTCTATACTGTATATCATTATTGATTTTTCACCTCAAAGTGGAAGAAAAGTTTGAAGTTGCAGGACCAGATAAATCTATCACAATAATAAAAAAAAATACAGTAGCTCCATTTACTATTACAGTGATCATCAAAGATTTAAATACTTCACCTTTTTGACATCATGGCCACAGAAGAAAAGGATTTCTTACAAGACTATTGTGAGTAAAGTCCTTTGCAGATGTGGCCTCAGAAACAATAGAACATTTTTTTGCAGACTTCCTTTTGTTTTAGTTAGGACTGAATGAATTAAAGTGGTTAAGGTTGACATAAAAGTATGCATGATTCTGTGGTAGATGCTGGCTGTACTATCTGTATTCTGTATTCTGCATAATGCAATTTATTTATTTTTATTTTAAATTTTCATTTCACTTCTTATCTCTTTATCAAAAGATACACCCATCAAAGTAGGATTCCTCCTGGGAAAGGATCTCCCACAGAAAATCTTTTTTAAAAATGTTTTTCTATCTTTTTTTATTGTTGTTCAAGTACAGTTGTCTCCATTTCCCCCCTCCCCCACTACTCCATCCCACCCCAGCCATCCCCATCTCCCACCTCAGTCCTACCCTCTTTGGCTTTGTCCATGTGTCCTTTATACATGTTCCTTGATAACACTCCCCCACCCAGTATCTCCTCTGATTACTGTCAGTTTGTTCTTAATTTCAATGTCTCTGGTAATATTTTGCTTGCATGTTTGTTTTGTTGATTAGGTTCCACTTATAGGTGAGATCATATGGTATTTGTCTATCACCTCCTGGTTCATTTCACTTAGCATAATGCTCTCCAGTTCCATCCATGCTGCCACAAAAGGTAGGAGCTCCTTCTTTCCTTCTGCTGCATAGAATTCTATTTGTGTAAATGTACCACAGTTTTTTCATACATTCATTTACTGATGGGAACTTATGTTGCTTCAAGCATTTGGCTATTGTAAATTGTGCTGGTATGAACATTG